TTTTCTACAAAAACTTGAAGAGATGGGTAAAAAATAGTATAATACAATTTGATAGACAATTACATTGTGCATCTGATTCACGTAAAATATACAGGGTGTTTCATTTAAATTAAACAAGTTATTGCCGTTTAAAGCTAGTAATTATTTAATATAAATTTTTTTACACTCTGTATGAGGTAATAAAATTTTTATTATCGCAACACAATATCTGATCAATAAATAAACTTCAGTAAATATTTAGTATTAAAAACTTTGATACCCTCGGAGAAATGAAGCCTTAAAATTTTTACTGCAATTTCATAAAATTTAAAATATTTCAAAAACGGTAAGGTTTAAGTGTGATAAACCTTAATCAAATTTACCTTTATTTCAATCGTAGAATTCAAAAATAGAACAATATACAGGGTGTTCCATTTAAAAAAATACAACTAATATTTTTTACTTATTTGGGACACTCTGTATCTTGTGAAAATATTTTTAAATTGTAGCTCTAATAGTCCTTCAACGAACCCAAAACTTACAATTTGTAAAAATCTAATGGTTTAGCTACAATACTCTACTTTTTACTCTACTCGTTAAAGTTCTTTACTTTCATAGCGTTAATTTTAAATAATAATTGAATAAATTACATTTTTATATTGCCAATCGCGTCGCAAAAATTAATACTTTTGTGACGTTTAAAAAAATTGATTTTAAAAAAGTTGCTGTTACATGCAAAAATTAAAAAAAATCACAAATTTTAAAATTGTTTTTAGTTTTTAATAATCGAAAGACAGCCGAAATTCTACCAGCCGTCGTTGCTATAAAATGTATTTTCAGTTCTAAAAATAAAATAACTAACTTCTAGATATTCTAAACAACTCTAAAAAGCTTTATTCAGAATCTCGCAATTAGTGGAATAAATTAGGGGTTTCAATTATACTTTATACTTATGAGTTTACGAGCATTCGCAATGTCTAAAAGAGATATAGATAATATATGGTCTATTTTTTAATGGAAAATTTTGAGAGGTAGCAATTTTTAAGAGAGATGAGATGAACTTACAATTAATTTTAAAAATAGATATTTGTATTTTAGATGTTTTAATAATATGAATTAGTTGAACTTAATAATCATATTTAAGTAATGTGGTTAAGTAAATGGTTATCGAACTCAAACTATGGGGTGAGAAAACTAAATTGAAAGTTTTACACGTGTCAATTTTATGAAAAGTTAACGATGTTTGTATTTTGTTTATGCTAATTCTCTTACATGTAGTTTTTTGCGAAGAAATATTTCATTTATTTTTTAAAGTAAAAGTAAATAATATTATTTTTAAATAGTAATATAAAGTACCTAATATAAATAGTTTTGATTTCTAATTTTTTATTAATATTTTCCTTCCATTACACTGCATGCTTAGAAAATTAATAAATGTTTATATTTCATGATTTTAAAATTTGTTGTTAATATAACAAATTAGTTCTGTAATTAGTATTATTTAATAAACCAACGTTGCCACACAAAAAATTTAGAGACTATATTATATTTAAATAGGATCTAATATAAATAATTTTGACATCTAATTTGTTGTTTATATTTTGCTACTACTTAAAAAAATGTTTATATTAAATTATTTTAAATTTTGTTGTTAATAGGTATAAAAAATTATTACTGTTATTATTATTTATTAAACCAGTCTTTGCTTAAAAACATTAAAAATAATTTTCCTACATCCAAAATAGCAAGTATTATTGAAGTGTAACAACAGAATATTAATAATAAAAATGCAAAATATATAGACATACTATCCCTAACTAACTAAAGCCAAACAATAATATTCTTTGCTAATATCAACTAATACCAATATATGGCAACAGCGCCCTTCATAATGTATTTTCTGTGTAAATACGAACACCTCAATAAAAAAAATAATGTGTCCTTATCTTTATCTGACTCCGCAAAAAATGAAAGATGCCGGCTTCTTTCATAGCATTGCCACCGACCGCTGCCGGGTTTCTCGGAAAGAAACCTATGCCGAGCGACAACTAAAATCCAGTTAATGTTTTATTATAATCGATCCTGACGAATAAATGAATTTTATAAATGAATGAATCTTATAAATGAATGGTTTTTGCTGCCGAATTACTAGAATACAATATTTCAAGGCAGATGACGCGTCTATTCGATAATTTTTATTCGAATAGTTTTCAACGAATGTTTTCTTACTAGCTATCGAATTATTCGAATGAATTGCAACTATCGAATGTTTCGATAGTATTCATTCGATAGTTCCCACTACTATAGATAATCCTAGCAACAGCTTGTAGTATTTAGTGGTATCCATAGAGAAAACTTAATAATTAGGTTATAAAACAATAAACTTTTATATCTAACCACAAATTCTCTTCACAGATGGTAATGATAGGCCAAAATGACATTACTCGCAAATTTTCACGTATAATTAGTAGAACAATTAAAGTTTGTTAACTGTTTATACTGATTTAAAAGTACTACCACTAATTTTTACAATGAATTAGAGGAAGAAACTTCTGCCCTAACTGAAACCACTAATTTGTTTCACTAATTTCGAGGTTCTAAATGGAACTTCAAAAAAAAAAGTTTTTCAATTTTTTTTACACAACCACATCATATTTCTACAAGATCACACTGGAGATTGGCTAATTTCATCCAAGTTCTTTTTCATTTCCTCTAATTTTCTCATGTCGCTGATGGAGGAATTACACTTGTCCACTACGAGCGAATGGTAAAAGTTCGCCGCGAACAAAACGAACACTATTAGTACCGGAACCACTATTATAGTCGCCGCCACTGCCGCTGTGAAACTATAGTCCCAGAATTTCACCCAACAGAGTATTGCTACCTCGACCATAAATAAAATAAACCTAAAAGAAAACGTAAAATGTAAATATGAATATGTAAAATATAAGCTATGTTTCAAAAAGTCTTGTATTCAATTGTGAGTAACTCACGAGAGATTTCTTAGCAAATACTTGCTATAGTAAACGCCACGAATATTTGGGAGTGATTCATCGGTCGCTACCATGTGAACTAATCTGTTCAAGATCACATAAAACTTAATTCCAGTGCCGTGGTGTTTTAAGACATATAATAATCAATATATAATCTGTTGTAATTTGTTGTTTTAACTGTCAAAGTCTTGTCCAAAAAATATATTTGGTTATAAATATAAAATGGAATGCCCCCATTGGTCGCACTGCAAACACACCAATGGACTGACGCACAAAACGAATCAATCAAAGAAACGCGATATAGTATCGTCTTTGTCAATCACGCTAACATTTTAGAATAAGTAGGAGGAGCGCAGGCAGATGATTAGACCGGGCCTTTAAAAACCTACGTCTGCGGTAAAAATTTACGTTTTTAATGTAAAAATGATAGCGCGCGTGTCGATTCTAACTTCATCAAGCGATAAATCACTCCCAAACATTCGTGGCGTTTACTCTAGTGTATCGAACAGTAATATAAATTTTCCCAATATATACTGAGTCTCAAAAACGAGATTTGGGCTGTATTCCGTTGCAAAACCAGGCGAACCAGACCGGTAAAGTACGGTAAAGAGCGGTTCCTGAAAAATATCGATTTGATACGGAACGGTTTGGTAAAACACTGGAAACGTCAAATGTTGACGTTTTCTAATTTACAATACCTCTATTATAAAATTTATCTCTTATGCATTTTTAATGTACCTATTCTCTGCTTTTACGTTTGCTCTTTCTTTTCAATGGAGTTTAATATTGAAAAGTACTTTATTAATAAACTGTTTAGACAGCTCAAGGGAAGATTTGCAGGTCCAATATTAAAAGAGATCAATAATAAACAAATCTAATCAATATTTATATTTTTATAGCTTACAAAACATTCACGATTACTTGTTGTCTTGTTTTTAATGTTTTCTTTAAATGTTCCTGACTTTAAGAAACAATGGCTGCATGATAAGTTTAAATGGTCCTAAAAAGTCATTCTATTTAGTTAATGATATTTATTTACCTTCACTGCCTACCTCCATTGCTTTTGGATGTAAATACAAAATATTATTACAAATTTTAGAAATTAAATGAGAATTTCACTCGCACTTCCAATATTTGCTTGATTTCTGTCACATAAATGGCATTGATTGACAAACAAAACCAGAAAAACTATACTTCTCGCGCTGCTGGGGCGCTATTCTGTAAAATCGTCGGTATCGGTAAGCTAACGATAGCTCTCGATACGTATTTGTACATAGTAAAAATGTGTTAATTGTTGTTGTCATAGTTACCGATCGGTCCTATGGCAGATATCGCAAATTTGTACCGACGAAAATCGGTATCTCTACCATGCCCTTGTCAACCTCACGGTAGAGATACCGAGAGTCGTCGGTACAAATTTGCGATATCTGTCATAGGGACGATCGGTAACTATGACAACAACAATCAACACGACGCTCATTGGCCGTACGTACCGATAGCTGTCGGTAACTTGCCGATACCGACGATTGTACAGAATAGCGCCCCTTTTGGTGACAGTTATAACCGAATTTTTCAGGAACCGTGTTCCGTAATAAGAAAACTTTCAGGAAAGAGATAGAAACGGAACATAAAACCATAACCATGGTAAGGAACGGAATGCATCCTTGGTATATTAGTACCGTATGATCGAGAAAAAACGGCGTCAGCGTTGGCTTGAAATGAAGATCGCTGTCAATTTATATATAAATTTATATGGAAAATGTCATCGATCGTCATTTCCCAGCCAACTGAACGCCGTTTTTTTCGGTCATACGGTATATGACAAAAATTAGGATTGATTAACCTATTCAATTGTTTTCGGTCACTTCCTGTTTCACCGGAAATGACTACAACTTTTAATTTTTAAATCGCATCCTCGGTATTTTTTTTACTTTATTCGACAGAAAATAGCACTCTGAATAGAACGACACATGTCATCTTTTGACATTTTCAATTAAAAAAATTGCTTTTTAAATTTCAATCTTGAATGCCATGGCTGTCTTAAAAACATTAATTTTTAATCAAGGAGCCTGTGGAAACATAAGCAATGGTCATCGTCTAATGTTTTTCGTGTCTTATCCTGGCCTGTTAAAAGATACCCAAATCGTAGTTTTAATCATATCTCAATTTTTTCAAATGGAACGAGGGTGGTTCATTAGCATATTTAGGAAAAAACATTTTTTACAAATAATTTGGTACCACACACTGGGTATTTCATGTCAAATGTCGTTATGACCCGCATGTTACAATTTCATATGCGAAAACGTCAAAAGTTGACATATGATATATCAATCATTCTATTCCCAATTCCCAGTGTCATTTTCTATCAAATAAAATTTTAGTCAAAAGTTGTAGTCATTTCCGATGTATCGGGAAGTCAATCAATCCTAATTTAATTAATTTAAAAATAGTTCAAGTGGTTCAGTCTAATCTAGGCTTACCTAAAATAGTTGAAAATGCCCAGGCTAGCTCAATGAAGCCTCGCATCCTTTCGTGGGGACTTTCCGTAACCAGCTCGCATATTTCTAGTTTTGCTATCGATTCGATATTGGGCAGGATGTACGTGGATATCATCAAGGCGAAAATGTGAACTGCGACTAGTATGGTCGTGCAAACGGCGAACATCACGAAAAGCCACTCAGGAACATTTGTGGGGGTGTTGATTTGAAGCTCCACCTAGTAATTTAATACTTTTTAGAGTAATTATTGAGACTTATGAGACTTCTGGACTATTATTACAGAAAAATTATCGTACACGAGTCATAGGGTTTGCGTATTGAGATGGTTTTGAAGTTGTTTGTTGTTTTGAAGATTTAGAAGTTGTAGAATGTAGAAGAACTTCCATCTGGAGAAGAGCGAAAGTCATCTTCATACCCAAAATAGGCAAAACTGACTGGGCTAACCCCAAATCATTTAGGCCTATTAGTCTCACATCGTTCATATTAAAAGCGATGGAGAAAGTAGTGGACAACCATATTAGAGTAAATCATCTACAGGTTAAACCACTGCACGATAGTCAGCATGCATATAGAGCGGGCAGATCCACAGAAACTGCTCTGTACCAGT